GTAATCTTTTAGTTCTGATTTCATATGTTCTTTTTCCTAGCCGATTTTCTCAGGTGAGCGCTGTGGTCCCTAGGCCTCTTGTTTAACTTGTTTGTCAATAATTTACCCCGTTCAGAAATTATCCATGCTCATATTCAGGAATGTTTTGTTCGTAGAACATTCTCTTTTGTATCGAATGAACTGAGAAATATAGACTCCTTATGCAAGTGAAAAAGACAAATTCTGCATAAGTAAGAGAAATTGACGATTGAAAAGTTAAAGTCATTTCATTTCTCATGAAGCTTTGTTTTTACACAACCGAAAAGTCTTTGTGTAGTGAAATATCCAAACATGAAACTGAAGAGTCAATGTCTTTGATACATGTATCCTTTTTCTTAAGCTCGCCAGGATATATCGCATTGACACAAGAATGGAAATAACTATAATTGTTAATTCAAAATGTGTCGTCGATATATCTATAAATGTCGAGTTTGAGGCCACAACAAGTGTTTTCTTCTTTTCTCGTAAAAGATTTTTAACAAAATAATATTGTTTCATATGAATAAAAATAGGTCTGCTAATGACGTTGCGCCATTGGTAACAACGGTAATTCAAATTGATCGTTAGAGAACCTGATCTCCAAACAACACATAAATAGTGTCGATCAGAAACTCGAGGATATTTCAATTTCAACTTCAGAGTTTTCATGTGTAAAATCAGAGTGTTTTTAATGAAGTATTTTTGCAAATGACTAATGAAAAGGTAAGTTAATTTACGAGTTCCATTTTTATTTAAAAAGCAAATGTCAATGATATGAACCACAAATTTTTGTCAACAAAGTATGAAATATGCCTTATTACACCCTGAAGAATACTGTGAAATCATACATTGTTCATGATAATGAGCAGGTTTTAAAAATTACTGATCAGTCTATTGAAGATTCATGTAATGCTTGTTTTTAATACAAACCTCCTTTACTTGATTTACTGAATTTTGTTAAAAATATATTAAATTGAAATGAAAATTAGAACATACATAGCCCAGGAATTGAAATGAACATGTAAGTATGCTACACTTTCAGTTATCTAGAGAGAAAATTAAGATTAAATTTTTAAAAAAAATCATTATATTTTTTTTTTAATGGAACCCAGATTTAGAGGCGTCAAAATGAGGAATTTTGAACAGATTGTTATAGATATTTATCTAAAAAAATTCAGATGCAAACAAATAAAAGAAGCAGTATAGATGATTTCATAATAATTGAACTCTGTCCTCTAAACATAAGACTAACATTCAATTTAACATAAAGAACTGAGACTTTATTATAAATGTTTTTATAAATCAGGTCTCTTCAATAAACGATTTACACGTTTGTATGCATTTAAAAATGCTAGGCTTAGATCTACATTATAACTTATGTCTATCTAAAATATGGTTGATTAATACAGTGTTAATATTGATTGTACCCGTACAATCATGTATTCTGAGCTGTAATAACTCAGCGTTAGTCCTGTTGTCTGCATGGCAAAGACTGGCAAGGGACATCACTCCGATAATTATACTAGAATTAACATGTTTATACAGAATGTACAGGGATAACTAATTATAAGTCAAGGAAATTATTCATTTGACAATTAAAGTAATAATACTTAATATTTTCATATATAATTAAAAGCATTGGATTATACCTCTGTGATAGACTGGAACTATGCACATACGTGACAGCTGACAGCTGTTATTGTTTTTATTCCCTAGTAGGATGTGATCAACGTCCAATTCGTTTGATTTAACGGACGTTCATAAATATTAAATAACAGATAAATAATTCTGAGATTCAGTTTAGATTTATAAATAAAAAAAATCCACTGAGAGAGTTATCATTGTATTCCGCAATTTTTTTTTTTATTGTTTTACAAAATTTATGAAATTGGCTTAAATATGAGTCTTTAAATAAATGAGTGTAAAAAAGTCATGAAAGAATATGGAGTAAAAGAGTTTTTTTTAATTGAAAATTTTACTTAGAATAACTTTTTTTTAAACCAAAAAAGCTTCTAATTTAGTCATGTTGGAGGTAATTTCCCTTAGGAAGACAGTGTCCATAGTTGTTGCCACTTCAATCATTGTTGCCACTTCAATCATTGTTGCCACTTCAGTTTTCAAATATACTATGTTAAAATCCTTGAAAATATAAAATTTTTCAAGATCGTTGTGTGTGATGCATGAACTCTGCATTATCTGCAAGAAAATTCCACGGTAAATGAATGCTTCCTGGGGCTTTCAAAATAGTATAGGAAAATGCAGAAGTTCAATCATGACGTCAAAGTTATCATCTAAGAGGTTATACGAGAAAAGATTTGTAATTTCGTCCTTCTTTTAATTATTACCTTTGATTCAGAAAGAATGAATATGAATATCTCAATTCACTTCCATATTTCTAGAATATACAGGGCTATATTTGTATTGAAATTGTATACATGTATTGATACATTTATCTCCTTAACTGGCGATTATTTAAGAGTTAATATACTGTGTTAATATTTAACTGTGGCAAAACTATAGTGCTGATAATTTAACTGTGGCACTAAGGAATTTGTCTGTGGCGGTCCAATGGAGATCCCTGTATATATACATGTATATGTATCCAGTGGTCATATTCCTGTAATCTATCAAACGTGTTTTTTGAAATTAAAAAACCCAGACATATTATTCAACCAAAAGTATCCGTCTAAATCAATTTCTTTTACCGGCACCTGAAGAATATATATTTTATGACATAATCAATCTTTATGTTCCTTTGTTAGTACAAAGCAAAAGCAACTTAACATTTTGTTTGGTGAAAAAGTATAACAAAAAGAACATCACCATTGAAATTTAATGATTTTCATTTATTCAAGTAAACTACGAAAAGCAAAAACATAAATGGATTGGAGTAATTAAGCAGAGTCTAGAAAAATAATCTTTTATAGATCTTTTCATTTGGAGAAAAAATCATATATTTTAAAGCTACTGTTTGTAAAACTTTTATTACAAATGTGCATTTCGTTCAAGTAGGTCATATGCACTTATGTATTAAAAATTTTGTGTACGTGCATTAGTCTACATATTGAAAAACATATTGAAATCAACAAACATAAAAGAAATATGTTATAGAGATATTTTTATCAATATAGAAAAAACAAAAAAATATATATGAATGATATATACAGTAAAGCAATCCCAGTGTTCAGAATATTATTCTAAGTATGTCAGGTCTTTAAATTGTAGCGATCATATAATGTTAATCTCGTCTACTGTAAATCACTATTTATTCGCGAGAACTTTACTTTCGCGTAATTACGCGAGACGATCTGCTCGCGAAAATTTAATTCTCGCGTATAATAGAATTCCTTAAGATTTCATAGAGCAATGACCACAATTCGTGAAAATTATGTCTCGCTAATAAAGAGTCAATTACTATCTCGCGAAAATAAGGTATCGCGAAAATTAAGTGATCTACAGTATATAACTATGGCTCATTTTTCTCCAATACAAAATACTCATTTTCCTTGCCATTTGATAATAATGCTTGGTTAGCATTATTTGCTATGTCCTTTCCTTCTTTATCCGAAAGGTCTGAGAGAGCAGAATTCGATTCAATCTCGGAAGCCTCTCTTTGTTGCTCGTCTAAAATCTTTATTGTGTCATCAAAAGCACCCATTGGATCCTTGTCATGCTCTGTTTGATTATTTTCCGTTGATTTAGCTATTGCTTCATTTAACGTTTCATCGCATTCCTTTCTACCTTGTATACGGAGTTGCGCTTCTCCATGAAATTGCAGATGACTATATTCATTATTGCATGGACCCGATATACGTCCCGTTTCATCTGCACCAATGGTTTCTGTATACATTGCATGTGTTGGTAAATTATGGTCAACGTTTGACTGATTTTCCTGCAAAAGCCTTGCATTTCCACTTCTGGTCAAGGGTTCAACGTATTCTCCAACGTATACTGGAGAACTATATAGTGGGGTACTGCCGTTGTTTTGGGGCTAAAACAGAGTAAAGATACAGTTGTACTTTTCACTTTGATTCCCACATCACCCATTATGAAAATATGAAATGTATAACCGCTCGACCGATGGTAGGGAAATACGAAGTTGTGATTTTATTATTATGAAAAATAATGTGCCTCATAAATAAAATTATTTTTTCTGGTCATTGCTCATGGATGCTTGATGTACTTATAGGGAAGTATTTGGCAGCAATAACATTTTTGCATCTATATATATTTTTTAACATATGTGCTGTATATTTGTTTCATGACTTTTCCTTGTGGTTTCAGAAAATGATATAGAAATATGAAATTATAATATAAGATAAACAAAACGAGACAATTAACTTAAGTGTCACATTTTACAAATACAATGCGAGATAGCAACCCTACATGATCACCCATCAATGAAATTCGTTCCCAAAGCAGACAAAGGAATTGACTATCAAGAAAAGGGTCGTGGTGTGAAAAAGTTTTCATCAATATATATAACCAGTTTACCCAACGTTTTCTTATTTGATAATATAGTTACAGTTAGACTTAATGCATGTTTTTTTTTAAAGGACTTGTTTTGCCAAAAGGACAACGCATTATCCAAGATATTCAACAATAATGGGGAATGGTCAAAAATTCCTTTGCATACTGACCAATCCCATTTACATTTTATATATAAATTTATATGTTAATGAAAATACTTGATTAGTTTAAAACCCAAATCCGACATGATCTTCGAAGAACTTTCATAGTGGATAAACCTTTACGTTTATAAAATTTCATAGATAGTCTTAGTAGAGAGTAGAAGATGTAAAAATAAAATAGAAATTGATTTTAAAAATATTTTTAAGACGTTCAGTACATATCATTTTACTTTATATGTAAACAAAGAAAAAAATAATGTACAAAAAGGTCAATTCATACAAAGTACAATGATTTTGGAGCCCGTTGTTTTGCAAGATATTATAATTTTATTTGATTTTAAATTTTGATTCCTAATTTTGTAAAAATATGCTTGATCTTGAATTACTTGCCTTATTATTTTGTTTTTGTTCTGAAATTTCTGAATACACTGGTGTGTCTTTTACAGGTAGGTGTGAGTTGAGTAAAGGTATATCCTGTCCCATGGAATATTCAGGCTTCTCTTTCTCTGCCCCAGTCCTTCTTCTAAAATCAGAAAATAAACGCAGAATTACCTACATAATGTACAAACATAGCACAGCATAAAACACAATTGCTTTACCTTCTATTGCATAAATAAGAAAAAGTCATAGATATTATCAGTCCAAACACAAATCCCCCGACAAATACGCCTGTTGTGAACCACGGAGAAAAGTCTTTTCCTACAACAAAATAAATCAATTAATTCAAGAAAAACTGGTATTCATTTAAGGATTCCCAGCCAACTGAATTTGTTTTTACCTTTTTCACTTTGCATTAAATTGAATGTAGCAGAAGTGAAACCTGTGCTTTGATCTTTGAAACTTTTTTCAGCCTTCGAAGATGTCCCCTCTGATTGATAATGATTCGATGTTTTATTTTCAGACGTTTCTACTGTATTGTTTTCTTGACATGGGCGATCTTGTAGTGAACTAGTATGTTCTTTGGCTGAACATAGTGGGTTAATGTTAGATGTACGTAGACCACCCTCTCCGGGGACATTCTGACAGTCACATCGTATTTCAAAGCATTTTCTAATACTTAGTGAAACAGCACATATCTCCAGTGGTCCTTTTTGTACAACTTTCAATTCCACAGAAGTAATATCAATTGAGAGGAAATCTCTGACCAACTGATCTTCATCTTCTATGAAAGAAAAAAAAGAAACATTTTTTTAATCTTAACTAGATAGTTAACTTCATATTTTACAACAATATTTTAAGTAATTGAATGTAAGGAAAAAATATATCATAAGAATTGAAATATTATTGTTTTTTTTATAAAGAAATTCTGAAATTTATTACATCTCTGAACCCCCCCCCCCAAAAAAAAAAAATTATTAAACATGCTTGTTGTTATAATTATGAATAATGCATAAGCTCTCACCTGTCAAACTTGTATTTTGGAGTGCCCATTTTATATTTTCGGTTATATTTCCCAAACCTCTGAAGGAAAATAATAAAATTACGAGGGGATATTTATTTTGCAGATCTTTTCATTCAGGCATCTTAATATAATATAAAAACATCAAACTTTAAAAGTGTCTTGTAAAAATGTTTAAAGCTTTGCCTTCATAAATGTTATAAAACGAATACATTATTTCAGTAAACAGATTCCCTTTTTATAGCCGTAGACATTCTTCAACATTGCTCGAGGTCAACACAAAACAAACAAATGCTTTTTGAAGTCATACTGCTTATTTTATGCTTACGCTTGTTATTTGGATTTTGCTCATTTTTCGTATTTAAACGTAAATAAGCTTCAATCTTAATGACTGTTTGAAAACTTAGAACAAAGGACTACTTCATGAGACATTACAATATACACGATATTACAAAATCATAACTCACACTTTCTTAAAATTCTTCGATTGATAAATATCAAAATCAAGCGGGTTATTGCAATTTGACGCCAAAGTCACAGAGGAGGAGGTGAAAACTAAAAAAAAAAAAAGATCAAATAATTAGGATCACAAGTATAGTTTCATACCGAGCAAACTATTCGTTTTATGGTGAAATTTATAAAGAAAGCAAAATTGATTTGCTTGTCAAAATGCATATTGACGTTTTATCAATATAGAATCAAGCTAATATGTACACAAATTATACTTTATTTATTCTTAATGGTAATAAAATTAAACATTAGTTTTTGCTTTTGAGCAAAATTTTGTGTTCAATTCTAAAAAGAAAATATCGTGATATGAATCACTAATAAGAAATATCAAATTAAAAGACTTACATATTAAAAATATAGCAATCATTATTCCCACAAGCTTTTTCTTTCAATTCAAGGAACCTACAACATGGAAGAAAGATCTTTTGCTCCTTTGAGGTTTTTTTTTTACATTTACAATATTTCTAACTCTTTTTTTATTTTCGTTAACATAATTTTAACTTTTTTATGTATGCTTTTCTAGAAATATAAACATATAACAAACATTAATCATAAATTATCATCTGAACTTTGATTCATTATAAACTACATCATTAACTTCCTCACATTTGTACATGTATGTAAAGAGAACCATTCATTCTTTTAACATTATAAACATATGTTAACACATACATGTGAATATTCAATAAGCTGCATGTGTATGCATATTTTCATCTTATATAACAATTACTTTATCTTACATAACATTAACTTAATTTTTACATTGTCAAATTTTTTCCCGGACGTCCTTTACAGTTTCTAATTTTTAATGGACAAATCTCACAGTTTTAAAAAAGTAAATTTGTCTTCCTTGTTGAAAATAAGTAAATATCTGATACTTATGCCGATCATATCTTATGTAAGTCTACCATGCTCGTAAAGATTCATTCTAAAATGTAAATAACATACCTGATTCTGCTCAAGAACGCTGAATACAAGGGTATTGTTGTATATTCAGAACGCTGTATGACATGCTCAATTCTTGCAGAAGTGTGACTAGGTTTATGATTATAGTTTTTGACCCCATCGTTTATAGCCTTCTTCCTGTTAACTACTTAGAATATTTTCCTCTGTTACATTTATCACAGATGTGAAAAGATAAATATTTGACAGATTAATAACTTCCTCTACAGTGAAATTTTGCTATTTTACATCCCAAGTATGATCATAACATGTGTTCCCCAAGTGTTACAAACACACGGACGGCCATAGCTCCAAATCAACAGAAAGTCGTTTTTTTTTCAAATCGGGATTTTGAAATAAATACTGGATCTATGAAGCTGATATTTTTGTGAACTTAATAATTTATCTATTAACGCTTTAAACTATTGTAAATGGTGAAAATACAATGCAAACCTCTAAATAGGGTATAAAACCCAAACCCCAGAAATCTGAGAGGTAGAATTGGGTGCCTTGGAAGAGTAAACATTTCTCGTGAGCTGGTCACACTAACACGAAATAAATACGCATCAGATAATCGTTATAATTTGTACTTGAATTTATTTTAAAACTTTTTTTTAATTTTCTTGTACTAATATAGTATATTCTCTTTTCTAAATCATTTACTCTCGTGCTGAATCTATATGAAGAGGATGCGTGCTGATGAATTGTCGAACACCATTTGGCTAAAAATATTTAGTGTAATAAAATTTCATTAAAATTATATTATTTTCCTCGGGATTTAAGAATTACAATATTTTTTATTGCAAAGGGAATTTCTAAACACTTAAAACAGTCATCGAGGATTGTCCTTTCAAATCTAAAATAGTCAAATTTTCTAAAATGGGAGTTTAATTAATTTGGATTATTTTTGGAAATGGGTATGTGTAAGAATTTTAGATATCGGCTGTTATTCAAAATCTTTATGCCGAAATATATTCAGATATTAATTAAAACGGTGACGTTCTCACCAAAGCACGCATTAATTTAACTATTTTGAAATACATGTACATTGACGCAGCATGTTTTTTCCTCGTTTTTTTTCTTTGGCAAGTTTGAGCCTGAATAGGAAGAAAATGAAAAAAAAATAGATGATATAACATTAGAAATTCTGATTTTGTCCTTATATTCATTGAAGTACTAATATGAAGTTGATAATTCCATTTGGCTTTCAAGTTTTGTCTAATTTCCCATTTTATATGTACATGTCATTAAAAAGACATAATCTTATATCTACGGCTCCTATGCTTTGACATTAGTGATATAACAAAGCATTGAAAAAAAATGATACAGGTGTAGCATTTTTAAGGATTTTCACATATATTTTATTTCTAATCACCATGGCAACTCCGTTCATTAAAATCATAAAGACGTTGCGCACTCTGTTGTTTCAAATTCGGTAATGTTAAAATGATATTATTTTTACACGGCATTTGAAAAATGGAACTCGTAAATTTACTTACCTTGTCATTGGTCATTTGCAAAATTATTTTGCTGTGGCCTTCAACTCGACATTTAGATATATCGACGATGTATTATCAATTAACAATGGTTATTACCATTCTTATGTCGATACGATCAAATTCAACAGGAAAATTTGCAATTTATTGGAGGGGAGATGGTAATCGAGTTTTGCGATGAAATTTAGACTCTTAATGTGGTTATACATTTGCTCGAAAATGTATATTTTGAAATAATTTTGAACACTTGAAAATGTTACAATTCCTCTCATTTATGTGCAACACTGACGGCTAAAATCTTCTGGTGATAATTCTTATAACAAACTCATTCTGAGTTTACGGGTGTTTCAAATTGAGGATTGACACCATGTTAAATAACTTTGTACAACAACGTCATGTAACAAAACTCTATGTAAAATGAAATGAATATCCTTAGAATCAACGCCCTTTTTGTCAGAATAATATGTAATTAACATTTGAGTATAAAGATAATATATTTATCTCTCGATGCTATTCTTTAATCTCTGATTTTCAAATACATGATTTAAATCGTATTTGCAGTAACATTTGTTATCATATCACAATATGCTTTTTTGTCATTATTACTTTTTCACATAAAAAATTAATACTTTTCTTCTTTGGGTTACAAATATGTCATTCGACCCCCAAAACTACATTGACTTTTGTTAAAATACTTTACAAATCAATGCCTCGATATTGTTTTACGGACGCTTGATGCTTTTACCATTCTCTTCTTCTTCATGTATGATCTTAACTACCATACAAAACATGCTGAGAGGAAAAACATATCTACAGCACTCAGCACTTTTGTGCTAGTTGAAAAGAAATACTGAAAATAATTGCTTGTAATTTTTTTGTTATATCAATGAAAAATAATTAAAAATTCCAAGAATGAAAATACAGTTTTGATCTCAAGTATTAATAGATACATGTATATTCATGAAGGTATACAACATTGTTTTATTCTGTAGTTATTTACTCTTCATAAAGAATCGGCAACAAAGCTGAGGCACATCTTTACATAATCTATTTTTCCTGGATTCCCCACAAAAAAGTATTACACTGTTTGTCTAACATTTCATCAGCCCTATTCCTGTCAATTGCTAAGAACGTTAATTATGGTTTTAGCATTTTTGTCATATCGTGCTCACTACACACACAATTTTAAGGCACAATATTCCTAGAAAAGGTTTTATACTATATGAATTTCTATTTGATTAATTGAAAACACAACCATCGCATGCCCTACATGTATGTACAGCCGCAAACTACCTTTCCTTTCCAATTATTTACATAATATATTACTCATATGCAGGCTTGGGGCGAATTACATTGTAAAGTAATACATTACATTACCATTACTTCAACAATTTGGGCATTAAATTACCATTACCATTATTCTATTTTCTTTAAGTAATGCATTACTTTTGATTTTAAAAAAATAGAAAGTTATACAAAACTTTGCGATTTTTTTATCATAAGCATGTATCCACCCCCTTCAAAACTAAACATAATAAAATAATATTTCAAATTAGATTTCAAGATTTAAAAAAAGATCTTTTACAACTATTTCATATAATTCTTTGAAATCAATTCTTATCTGATATAAGTTTGAAAACATAAATGTAAGGTAAGTGTTTTAACATAATAAAAAGTGAATTTAAATAGATACAGAAATATTTGAATAGGTTAAATTTCTCATTCAAATTTATCATCTGCAAAAACATAAAAATAAATGAATAAAAAAACCTAAACAATAATTTCCATCATCCATGTCAATTCTAATTTTTTAGAATAGGTACATAAATAATAATGTTATGTAATGCTATGTAATGCCAGCATTACTCTGGATTATATGAAGTAATGCATTACCATTACCGTTACATGTAATACAAATTTTTGAGCATTACACATTACAAGCATTACTTTGAGTTTATGTAATGCATTGCAATGCATTACCAGTACAATTTGCATTACCCCAAGCCTGCTCATACGATACAAGTATAGAGTACAACGCGAGTTATACATTAAGAAAGGCAGTCCATGAATGCATTCCAGTCTGATACTAATTGATACCGAAATGGGAAAAACAACTTCGCGGATAGCTCTCTGCATGATGCAAGTTGTTAATAGGAAGGTTTGTTTTAGTTACCGTACATTGCCTGAAATAAGGTTCTGACTAAAGAAATAGTTTATATATGGGTATAAGTTATATAACACGCATCATATCATGTTAGCAGTATATTGTTAATCAACTCTATGCAAATTTTAATGAATATCTCATTTCCTGTTTGAAATTTAAATACGTTTAAAAATTCAATCTGATTTTTAAATAATTTACCTATTCAAGCTCTATATAGCAGATACATGATGAATAATATACCGTTTTTAATTAAGTATTTGCGTCATAGGTGCAGCAATTGTTAACTACATGGTACAAAAGTTATGCGTGCCGACATGATTTAAATGAACTTCACTATATAGATAAGAAAATGGTAAGAACTGCTCTTCTACTGACTGTGAAATATCCCTTTTCCTTACTTATTGCCTCATATTGTTAGAAATGCACGCAGCACTATGTGTTCA